CGTAATTCGGAAAGCACGAATTCAGGTGTGCTTAATAATCCGTTATGTCTGAAGCAGACGGTGCAAATGGTGGAGCTATCTGTAAGAGGTGTGCAGTAGCTAAAGCTACGCATACCCTGTTAGTTAAGAAGCCAGTGCATTGAAGCGGAAAGGTATCGCGGATCGGTAACGCGGAACGCGGATTTTAGAGTAGAGTCACCGTCAGTCCGTGGGTCTCCACATGCAGCAACTTCCACGTAGTGAGACCTGGGTCGGTATTACTTGCATACTCTAGTTATAAATTCTTTAACGCAAGTATTACTGAGCGAATGGCTGCATATTTTTTTACTTTTCCTATATCTTTTTAATCTAATTTCAACTAAACATTAACATATTTTCATTTTATGTAGCTTATATTACTTCAAAAGAAGAAATATAGCAGAAATCTATTCTATAAAAATACTCAAACGAAAAAGAAATTTCTCTATCATACTTTAATGTCCGCTGCCATTTCTATTTTTTCTTATTTATTATCAATAATTATTCTTTATAAATCTCGGGTGGGACCCATTGGAGGGGCCCATGGGTGTGGGCCTCTGTGCGGGTTGCTGTCTTAGCATCTTATACAGCTGCTTCTCTTTTCTTCTTTTTCTGGGGCTCTCTTTTCTATTTCATATTTTTCATACTGATTTACACTTATTAATTATGATTTATAAGTCTCGGGTGGGACCCATGGAATGGGGACATGGGTGTGGTCCTCTGTGCGGGTTGCTGTCTCAGCATCTTATAGAGGTGCTTCTCTTTTCTTCTCTTTCTGGGGCTCTCTTTTTTAAGTCATATTTTTCTTGTTTTCATTTTCTATGTCATTAATAAACTCTTATGAATTATGCTTTATAGTCTCGGGTGGGACCCATGGGATGGGCCATGGGTGAGGGCCTCTGTGCGGGTTGCTGTCTCATCATCGTGTAGAGCTACTTCTATTTTCCTATCTTTCTGCAGCTTTCTTTTCTATCTAATATTTTTCTAATTTAATTATGTTTCTAATTATGTTATTAATATGTTATTTCTTTTCATTATGTCTTTTCAGATTATTATTAGGTTATTTCCTTTTAATTATGTTTTTATGTTTTTAGGTTTGTTAATAATATATTTTTATTAATTATGATTTACAGGTTTTAGGTAGGAACCATTAGCTGAAGCAGCATGCAGAAATACTTCTATTTTCTTATCTTCCAGCAGCTCTCTTTTATTATTCATATTTTTCTTCATTAATTATGTTTTTAATTATATTATTAATATGTTATTTCTTTTTATTATGTCTTTTCAGATATTTATTATGTTATTTCTTTTTAATTATGTTTTTATGTTTTTAGGTTTGTTATTAATATATTCTAAGTAATTTTAATTTTTAAGCATTAGGTAGGACTCATGAGATGAAGCGGACTATTGTTTTAGCAGCGTGCAGAGCTACTTCTGTTTTCTTATCTTTCAGCAGCTTTCTTTTATTATTCATATTTTTATCCTTTAATTATGTTTTTAATTATGTCATTAATATGTTATTTCTTTTCATTATGTCTTTTCAGATTTTTATTATGTTATTTCATTTTAATTATGTTTTTATGTTTTTAGGATTGTTATTAATATATTCTAATTAATTTTAATTTTTTAGCATTAGGTAGAACCCATGAGATGTAGCGGACTGATGCTTTAGCAGCGTGCAGAGCTACTTCTATTTTCTTATTTTTCTTTTATTCATTTTCTTTTTTTCTTTTTCAGGATAGATCATCAAGGTATAGGTTCATCTCTGGTCGAATGCATCATCGCCTGGCACGATTCATCATCGATTTTTACGCGGTTACGGGCAGGATAGGAAGAACACTCGCGTGCGTGCCGGCGTGCACAAGCGTGGGTGTTCTCGGGCGCGATCATACCTCGTTTGATTGCTCGTATCGAAAACGCGAATTTAGAGTAGAGTCACCGTTTTTCTAAAACTCACGTGAATGTACGCGGACGCGACTTAAAAGTCCTACCGGGGATTTCGTTTAAATCTGCTCGAATATTCGATTAGATTATTTCGCGAACGCGTTTTTTTAGAGTAGAGTCACCGTTTTCCGAACACTTACGTGGGTGTCCGGGCGCGATTAAAAGTCCTATCATGGACTTCGTTTTAGTGTTGAAATTCGGGGTGCGCGAACGGTTTACCTTGTAGTGCTGTACATAGCTGGCTGATGTTATGACAATCCTAATGTTTGGTAGCGGGGCGGAAATCCCGACAAATATCATGGAAAGTCTAAATACCGGTTAGCATATGTCACTTTGGATTTCAACTTAGAGTCACCGTTATTCTAACACCCGCGTGGGTGCTCGCGTGCGCGATTAAAAGTCCTACCGGGGGCTTCGTTTTGTTTGCTCGAATATTCGATTAGTTTATTTAGAGTAAAGTCATCGTTTTTCGAACACTTGCGTGGGTGTCCGGGCGCGATTAAAAGTCCTATCATGGACTTCGTTTTAGTGTTGAAATTCGGAGTTCGCTTCGGATTTCAACTTAGAGTCACCGTTATTCTAACACTCACGTAAGTGTTCGCGTGCGCGATTGAAAGTCCTACCGGGGACTTCGTTTTATTTCTTCGATATTTCGATTAGATTACTTCGCGAATTTGAATAGAACAGTAGAATCTACGTAATTATAATACACGTGAGTGTCGCGAACGCGATTAATGCGCTTTGATTGTTCGAAATTCGGATGCACGAATTCAGATGTGCTTAATAATCCCTTATGCCTGAGGCGGAGGGTGTCGAACGGTTAAGCTTTCTGTAAGTGGAGTCCCTGTAGCTAAGGCTAGATACTTCCTGTTAGCTTTGTCCCATGCCCAAGATATCCGAAGCGGAAGGCATAAGGGTCGGTATCGCGGAGCGCGAATTTTAGAGTAAAGTAGAGTCACCGTTAGCTCGTGGGTCTCCACATGCAGCAACCTCCACGTGGTGAGACCTGGATCGTTAATACTTGCAAAGTTTAATTGTAAATTTTTAAATGCAAGTATTAACGAACGAATAGCTGCATATTGAATTACTTTTCCAATATCTATTCAAACTAATTCCAACTAAACATTAACATATTTTCATTTTAAATAGTTTATAATACTTCAAAAGAAGAAATATAGCAGAAATCTATTGTACAATAATTTCTCAGAGAAACGAAAAGGAAATTTCTCTATCACACTTTAATGTCCGCTGTCATTTCTATTTTTTCTTATTTATTATCAATAATTATTCTTTATAAATCTCGGGTGGGACCCATGGGAGGGGCCTGTGGGTGAGGGCTTCTGTGCGGGCTGCTGTCTCAGCATCATATAGAACTGTTTCTCTTGTCTTATCTTTTTGGGGCTCTCTATTCTTCTCTTTTTGGGGCTCTCTTTTCTTTCTCCGGCTCTCATTTCTATATCATATTTTTCTTTTTCAATTATGTTTTCAATTGTGTTATTAATATGTTATTTCCTTTTAATTTTGTTTTTAATTATGTGTTTAATTGTGTTTTTTATTATATTTTTAATTATATTTTTGATTATGTTCTTAATTATGTTTTTAAGATATTCTATTAATTATGATTTAGTTGCTTTAGGTAGGATCGATAGGATGATGCATGCTGCTTCTCTTTTCGTTTCTTTTTCTAGGTCTCTTATCGATTTATATATATTTATTTTCTACTTGTATTTTATATATGTATATATATATATTATTTCCTCTTTATCTTTTTCTTTTACAGGATAGGTCATCGAGGGATAGGTTCATCTGCGGACGGATGCGTCGTCACCTGGCTGGATTCATCATCGATTTTTACACGCGAATACGGGAAGGATAGGAAGAACACTGGCGCGCGTGTCGGCGGGCACAGGCGTGGGTGTTCTCGGGCGCGAGTATATTACGTTTGATTGTTCGAATCGAAAACGCGAATTGTAGAGTAGAGTCATCGTTTTTCTAACATTCGCGTGGGTGTTCGGGCGCGATTAAAGGTCCTACCGTGGACTTCGTTTGATTTCTTCAAAATTTCGTTGGGGGTACTTCGCGAATTTCGGCTTAACAGTAGAATCTACGTAATTATAACACACACGTGAGTGTCGCGACGCGATTAGTATTTCTAAGGAGTGCGCTTTGATTGTTCGTAATTCGGAAAGCACGAATTCAGATGTGCTTAATAATTCGTTATGTCTGAAGCAGACGGTGCAAATGGTGGAGCTATCTGTAAGAGGTGTGCAGTAGCTAAAGCTACGCATACCCTGTTAGTTAAGAAGCCAGTGCATTGAAGCGGAAAGGTATCGCGGATCGGTATCGTGGAACGCGGATTTTAGAGTAGAGTCACCGTCAGTCCGTGGGTCTCCACATGCAGCAACCTCCACGTGGTGAGACCTGGGTCGTTAATACTTGCAAAGTCTAATTGTAAATCTTATAACGCAAGTATTATCGAGCGAATGGCTGCTTAAATAAATTTTGACTATATGTATAAATTTAACTAAAAACAAGAAATAAAAAATTTAACTAGTTACATTAGCGTATCATTAATAAACTCTTTTCAATTAATCAGTCTTCAGGTAAGTATAATAATCTATACTATTATTTTTACTACATACTACAATTTTTCAAAAATCTGGCACTAATTCAATTCTTAGGTAACGCGAGACAAAGGTATTTAATTTATAATGCACCAATGCAATAGGTATATAGTGGAGACAATGTTTTCTTATTGAGCTTATAGTTCATATTTTGTCCATACCTGTCGCTGAAGTCACATACGCTACGGGTGAAAGGTGGTGAACAGCCTTAATTATAGATAAAAGTCGTTTTGTACGTACCTAACCTATTTTATCTTGATAGTAGATTAATACAATAAAAAATAGTAATTTGTCATTCATACTTTCTTTCTGGATAACTTTTTCAATCAATCGTGAAATTAAAAGGAAATTTAATTTTCTATAAAAATATTAAAAATGTTTATATGTATTTCATTTTACTTTTCTAATTCTTACCTTTGCAAAACTCTTATGCAAGTTCTTCTGTCATTTGTTACATCATGTTCTCCTAACCTAAAATCAGATAATTTCTCGATATAATTTTTAGGTGTAACGATTAAAATTTTGTAACGTCTTTACACATTTATATACCGTTCTATGTTTACAGTAACTAACAAAATTTTCTAAATTAATTGTTATAAATGACGTTTCTACAAGTACTATTAACAAATTTTATCTCAGAAATTTCCCAACTCTTAGCTTATCGACAATAAAATTAATTTTACTAAAAACTGTATATGTTGTTTCTAGGAATATAATTTAGATGGTGCCACGAACAATTTCTGGTGCGATTTTATCATCGCGAATTATTAAAGGAAAGAAAAAAGAAACATTATATTATAAAAAGGCATCCTAAAAGAAAAGAACTAATATCAAAACAGGGAAAAAATTAACAATATGATAAATAATTCGAAAGTTTCTTTACAAAATAAATAACAAATTATTCTTGATCTTTCTAAAGAATTAACTTTACTATAATACATAACTAATCAATTATTCATTTAATCGTTTGTTCCACGCCCATTTCAATTTTCAAAGAATCTTTCAATTATATCAAAAAAATATATATGCATAATTGCATATATATATGTATGTGTATATATATATATATATATATATATATATATATATATATATGTGCACATGAATAATTTAGAAAATTTAAGAAAAATGATTGAAACGGATAAAAATCGAAGGAAATTGGAATATTTTATAAAAAATTAACCATAATTGTCTCTCATAGATGAAAAGAACTAGTATAGTGGCAATATGTGGTGGCGCCTAAAATTATGTGTGAATTTAGTATATATAATATATATAGTTATATATACATCGTATACACATATATACATACTTCAACGATCTCAAGCTAAAGTTGCGTTTTCTTTCAAGTTGCACGCGTGTGTTCCTTGGAACTTGCGGGAGCATTATGTTATACGTGCCTAAATAACGTTTTTGGTAATGTTACTGCAGTATTACGACTGTATTAAAAAAGTTATGTGCAGTGTCGTGTTGTGATGTACCGATGTGCCGATAAAACAATCGATCTTTGTAAATGTTTTACGGTAAGTTTTGCGAAAATAACGTGTGGACGCGCGTGTTAATTGATCAGAAGAGAATACGATTGAGAGACTGCAACATACTTAATAAAATTCGTCATCGATTGTCATGTAAAACGTGTGGGCGACGATAAAAGAGTTATCCTAATGGTCGTTATGCTTGTCTTTTACGTGTACGAATTAAAAACGAATTTATTATATTCCAAATGGTAAAGTTATAAATTATTATCCGTGCGTGTGCGATCCATATACAAATTTCGTCCCACATAGGTAGATCTCAGCCTCGTTTTTATTTTACTTTTATACTCCAAAGATTTTTTTTTTTATGTTTTCTTTTTTATTCTCTCTCTCTCTCTCTCTCTCTCACTTTCCTTTTACCATCGTCTTCAAATTTTCATCAATTTCATTCATAATATAACAATTCATTATTAATCTTGCTTTTATTTATATATCTTTTCACGAGTAGTATAAAATTTTTATTTTGAAATTTTTTTTTTATCTACTCGAACGTTATGTAGCTATTCTTCAGAGGTTATGTATTTATATATTGCAATTTGTTTCTCTAATAAAAAGCTATAATAGTAATTAATAAATCTATGAACAAATTAAATTGTATATAATAAAATACATAATAACTATTAACAATATATTAGAAAAGTAAATCCGGTAGAGTAATTAGTTACCTGAGAATGATGTGATAGTTACTTGTACTATTGTTAAACTACTAAAAAAAAGTCTTGAATTTTCTAATATTATACAGTATATGGAATCCAGGTGGCAGGTGCCTAGAAAGCAGCTGGTAAGATGGGAAAGTTGTTGTCAAAAATTTTTGGCAACAAGGAGATGCGAATTCTCATGTTGGGATTAGATGCTGCAGGAAAAACTAGTATCCTTTGTACATTTATTAATTCATATTTCATTAGTCAGTACTTTCTGATAGAATACTATCTGACAGATCTACCATGTATTTCATTTCCTTGATTATTTATGTCAGCAATATTGTATAAACTTAAATTAGGACAGTCTGTGACAACTATACCGACTGTAGGATTTAATGTAGAAACTGTTACCTATAAAAATGTTAAATTTAATGTCTGGGTAAGTTTGTACTAAAACAACATTTATCATTATTAATGGATAAGAATGTGAAGCGTTTGCAATTAGAATTGATTATCACCTTGTGTGTTATTTTAGGACGTAGGTGGACAGGATAAAATACGTCCATTATGGCGTCATTATTACACAGGAACACAAGGTCTTATTTTTGTAGTAGATTGTGCAGACAGAGATAGAATTGACGAAGCACGTCAAGAACTCCATCGGATTATAAATGATAGAGAAATGCGTGATGCTATTATTTTAATTTTTGCTAACAAACAAGATCTTCCTGATGGTAAGTTATACTGCAAATAAAAAAGTAAACATTTCATTTATTGTAGTGCTCATAATCCTCCTTATCATATAAATTATTATTATTAGTATATAATTCATATATGAGAAAACAATTGCGCATTGATTTAGTTTAAGAATTATTTATTTTCATTTAGCGATGAAACCCCATGAGATTCAAGAAAAGTTGGGGTTAACTAGGATACGGGACAGAAATTGGTATGTTCAACCATCATGTGCTACAACCGGAGATGGGCTTTATGAAGGCCTTACATGGTTGACTAGTAACCACAAATTATGAGCAAATATTTATTTTTGATCAATTGGCTAAATATGGAAAATATACACCTGTATTTTTATTTTAATTTATCATACGGAGGCTCTGTAAGGCACAATTGACATTGATCGAGTCAATGGGATGATTTCGATAAAGAAAAGATACTGCAATTCAGAAATGCTCCTTACATACTGTGGTGTGTGTTCCAATAATATTGATAAATAAGAGCATAGTAATATATCATGAAGCCAACTAAGAGAAATTGTAACCATTATTATTATTATTATTATTAATTAGCTGTCCATTGCCACCCATAAGATGTAATTAAAACATTATCGAATAGAATTATATACTTTCAGACTGCATTTTCTTATAATTTAAACACTTTTAGAAGCATACATATTTATAAAGAATGTGCTTTAACGATTACAAAAATATTTTAACATTCACAACTTTAGCTGTGGTATTAAGGAAATTGTACATCCTTACAGATTGACATGCCTTCTTCTGACTGTATATTATTACAATGTTTTAATGTGGTCATATACTATAACAGTACATTGATACACTATGTAATGTATAATCTAAATGATAATTCACTTTTTCTACAACAGGATATTCACAAAATTCATCCAGTCCATGTAGTCTTCCAGTTCTAGTGAAGTACATGAAAGTGTAAGTCCAATTGCATAATATTTCCCTGTCTTACTTTATTTTTTTATATTATTAGCAATTCATACACTTTCATACTTCACTTTAATTGAAATTCATTAATATCTTATACAAAATGGACATGTTCTTTCGCACAAACTATAAGGGGCAAAATATCGTATGACTTGCAGTTATACACATTGATACTATCAGTTAAAGGAACATGTTATTATATAACAACATTCACACATTGCCAACATTTTTACTATATGCAAAAATTATTATTAAATAAACAGTTAGAATTAGGTTGCCATATTTCTGACACAAATTGTAAGTTCTATGAGAAATGTATCTTGCGAATCCTTCATTACTTTTTTATAATTAGTAGGATAAGAACTGAAACATGAATTAATATTTACAACTGTTTAATTAAATTATAAATTCCAGTTTTTATATACTTAAAAAAAAAAGAAAAAAGAAATACAAGTTAACATTATATATTAATAATCACAATTATAAGTCTATAAAAACTGTTCCTTTAATAATTCATATTAGGCGACTTTCATAAAATCTCAAGTTGAAAAACAAAGGAACACTCTGTGCAAAAATATGATCTAGATTTAGAGAAGGATAATAAAAATCGGGCTTTGGAATAACATGGTACTTTCTTTACCGATATGCAATGATCCTAATGAAGGCTCTATGGCTATATTATTGATACCAATTCATAACTCATTTCATATTGCAATGGATCGACTAATAAAACTTTTCTTTGATTTTTAAGTACAAAGCTTTTTATTAAATTTTCTTGTTTCACTACCCATTACATAGTTTAGAATTCATACAAAATTAAACTTAATCAATGCATTCCAATATCTCTTCAGTTATTCTACACAAAAATCCATACAATTTAACTATCATATAAAATCGTATATTTCAGATATTAATACTGAAGAGAAAGTGATATAGAATTCTATGTTATTCCACAAGAAGTCATACCTTTTTATATGCTCCATTGTATATAAAACCATAAGTATTATACGGGATTGATAAAAAAATATAAGCATAAATAATATCATTAAAGTCATGATAAAATAAAGAATGTGCACACTACTTATCTATCTCACTTATATTGTGTTATATTTTATATCGACATTTTTAAAAAATTATGAAACTTATGTACAATCTAATCGTTAGTATACAATATAATTTTAAACATTTAATGTTATTTCAAAAGTTTCTTATTGATTCATATGTGCACAATCATGTATCTGTTTATTTTCAATGTAAAACATGACTCTTATTAATGTCACGCAATTTTGCATATTTATTCCTATTATTATAATAAAGGAAATATGAACAAAATTGAAAGACATTGATATATAACCATAGAGTACTTGTATTAATAACAAGCCAAAGCCTGAGCACTCTATAACAAATTTATAGCACTTTTTTCAATATTACATTTTATTGTGCATATAATGACTATTTAACTAATAGCAATACAATAATAGGTTTTGCCGAGAACGGAGTAATAAAATCACTTATGTACAAAATATAGACTTGATTCTCATACTTGTTGATTACTTATAAATTGATATTACTATGCAAAAATATTTTCCTGCCGCCCGATGTAAAATTATCATATGCGCAGATCTATACAGGAAATAGATCAGTGCTGAAAATAAGTTATTAATAAAATTGCTTATATTATATGCCCTTAATTTCCTTTTTCCAATTTTGTTTTTCAATTTTGCGTGACAGCAGATTATATATTTATAATAGTATCATGTTTAATGACATGCAAGTTAAACTCAACTGGTATCAATTTTGATTGATGCAGATGTCACATCAAATAATTATATGAACATACACACATCTTTGTAAAAAATATTTTGCTTTTCTATTAATAGAGTTAACAAAATATGTATAAACATTATGTCAAACTTGGGGGCCACATGTTATTAAGTGCTAAATCATGAAGACATTGGAAAATAAGCTGTATTAGTTTACTCCATATTATCTGCACTAACAGCCAAAAATTCCTTTGCATCAAAAAATAAAAAATTACGACACAAAAAGTAAAAAAATAAAAAACCTGGCTTTTGCCTTTAATAGACTAAAAATTATGTCATATATTTATATATTTTTGCTATTAAATATTATTAATTTAAAAAAAAAAAAAAGAATCTTGATCGGTAGACATTGGAATTGTATTCAATCTCTTTTGCAGTCTTTCATAAAAATACAGAAAATAATGTAATAACATATGTGACTTTTGAAATAATACAAATATTTAAAAACTTGATAAAGATAGTAAAGGTGCAATTGGATTTTCCCGGTTTTTAGTGTATGTAAAACACTATTATAGCACAATCCATATATACTTCTACAATAAACATATTAGTTATATGGAAATTTTTATAAAATGGAAGTTAAAGTAATTTAAAAACTATACATGTTTATGTACATTATTATAATTTGTATAATAAAGATTTCTTTAAATTCCTGAATTCAATGCTTAAAGCATATTTGAAATAATAAATTCTATTTTTTTTTTTTTTTCTTTTTTCACAAAGGGAAATATATAAAAGGACACTATAACATAACACAAACATATATTTATATGATTCCTTTTAAAATGATTCATTTATCTTATAATTATAACAATTATGCCTGTAGTAACAAATGCTTGTCATTAATTCATTAATAATCCATTAAATTATTTCAAATATTAATCAAATTAGCAAGATTATTATGATTATCTAGTCGCAAGAATCATACAAAATACATGATTTTGCATATATGTATCTTATATATCTGTACAACACTGTTACCTTAATTTATTATATAGTATAATTAAACTTTATATTTGAGAAAAAGTAACCCACATATTTTTTCCTATGAATTCACATGTCTTTTTTGAGATTCACATTATAGTCATTAAGATTCTGAAACTGTCAATGATAAATTCGGATTATGCACTTATACGTGTGCATATATGATATCAGTGGAGTATCCAAAGATCTATTCCTGTTCAATAACTAATTTTTCGGGTCTTAATATTTTTTTGTAGTTAAATAAAAAGCTCCCATTATTTTATATTATAATTACAATGCATTTATCATTTTGTTAGCGTAATACCTTATATAAATAATATTATGTTAAATATTTGTTTTTTGTATTACAGAGATTCATATTAGTCTATTTACTTAAATTATTAATAACAACAAAAAAATAAAAATAATAAAAAACGCCTTCTCATTCAGATCTAAACAAACAGAATCATCTTAAACATTAATGTTGGAATAATAAAAACTATTCTACACATTTATATACTAAAAAAGTGCCTTTAGTTAATCAAATTTACTGTAAAAATAATTATGCGTTAAATGTATTCATCAAATTCATAATGAAGTAAAACAATTTAAGATTTAATATATCGTATTTTCGAGAGTAATCATTCTTAGTAATTACTAAAGATATTTTATATATATATATATATATATATATATATATATATATATATATAAAATCTATATATATGTATGTATATAGATGATATTATACCTTTTTTAAATAATCTCTATTTCAACAAAATCTTGCGCCGTACTATAATGTATTATTTGATGCTATCTACAAGGTCTTTGTTCATTATCTACACTGGCAATTAAGCGCTGACGTGTTTTTTTGTTATTTTGACAGGCTGAAGAAATTAATCCTATTAAATGTTTTACTGAGTATTCCTAAAAATAAGACAATTATATGAATATAAAATAATAACATTTACAAAATAAATGCTTTGAACTACCTTATGCTCTTTGATCCATTCTTCCAAACTATTTTCTGGATAATAATAAGCTTTAATATACGATTCTACATAATTTTTATGTGGCATTGGTTTTAAAGTTGATGATAATTCTTCAAACTTTGATTTTAATTGCGTAAAATCAAGTTGCATTAATGCTCTTCCTCCATTTGTGCATTTTTTCGCACTGGAGAAGCTATAAAAAAAAACATTATTATGTAATGTAGTTTACTGAATAATATGAAATAATATTATACATATTTACAATTTATTTATATGTTTATCATTTAATTTACCACATCAGAAAACAAAATGGCACATACATATATATATATATATATTGTACATACCCTTCTACCAAAGTATGCGTAATTAAATGTGCAACATTTTCCCATATAGAAGCATGAACTTCATCAGACAGAGGAATAAAGTTTGCGATGTTATTTAATTTTTTATTTAATATATTTATCTCCTAGACCAAATATAAATAAAAATAAGTAAAAGATATAAGTTGGAATGCCAATGTTATGATACATGGATACTTTATGATATTGCAATGAGTGTACCTCCAATAAAGTGTCAATATAATTACTATGCTGAGACATGACATCTGTTACTTCCCAATTGACTTTATTCATTAAATTTAAAATATTGGCAATATCAAATGCTTGGGATACTACTGCCATATAAACAGGTTTTCTTAAATCTGTAGTACATACAATTGTATGTGCATAAAAATGATGTAAAAATCCTCTTTGTGGACTACTCCCAAGGAGATGTTCTAAATAAGGTTTTAGGTTTTCATACTGTTGTCCTAAAAATATTAATGATTCAACAGCTACAATACGTTCAGTTAATCCATAAAGGTTTTCAGGTTGTGTCAAAGTTACGCTAGAAGACAAATGTGGCTGCCTCACTTTATTATTACAATTTGAATTTGTATTATCATCTGTATCATTTTCATTAATTATTAAGTTGTCTTTTATGCGATTAAGTAATAATTTTAAGCGTGGACTATACATAGATTCACTGTTTATTTGCTGAAAGAATAGTAAGATACATGATTATTATCAAATTATTGTATTAAACGATAAAAAAATAGATTATAAAATTGGATAAAATATACTCACAAGATCTGCAGTGAAAAATAAATGCACTGTGTAGAAATAAATTTCAAAAAATTGGATCATACTTTGTATAACTGCAACTGCAATTGATCTTAAAAGCCTTGACGTTTGCAAATATTTTCCACACACTCTTAAAATGGTTAAAGTTGTATTTGTGACCATTGGTCCACTGTGTTTATGTTTATACTTCTTTTTATTTACTTTGGTATGTTCTGATTCATCAACATATTCGCGTTTTAATTCATCATCATCAGAATCATCAGAAAAATCCTAAACAATTGTATAACTATCATAATATTCCAGTGAAATATTAATTAAAAAATATTTCCTAATTTCACAGACCTCATTATGAGCTAAAATATCTTCTTCCATAGTGTCATCGAGTCCAACAGTAAAAGGTGATGTACCATATTCTAGATACTTTTGTAACAACAATTCTATGCCTACAGGAGCTTCAATTTCACTCGTGATAGAAGTGTCCAAACCATTGCATACTTTAGATTTGTTTAATATAGGTTTTAAACTTTTGAATTCTTGCAATTCAGTTGCGACAAAATCTGGTTTCACAGGACACAATTCCCATCCATCATATTCAAGAAATATTCGAAGTTCATCCAAACGAGATATATTATAATGTGAAAGATATAATAGAGATTGTTTTTTCATAGATTCTTGCAACCTTCCAAATTTATAACCGGACAATTCTCCGAGTTCCATTAAACTATAACAAGGACAATTTTTATAACGTATCATGTACCTTAAAAAAGTTGTTATACATATAAAAAATAAATATCTAATTACCGATTAACTATTCCTAAGACATGTACAAACTGTTCGAATTTAATATATACCAAGTCAGCATTTGATAAATACATTGATATTTGTGCTTCTACTTCTGACCACATTCGCATAATACTATTTTCTAACTTATGCTTGACATATTGATTACTAAACATTTTTTCAAAATCTTTTTCATCTGAATTACTTTTTTTACTATCTTCATGTTTATTATGCCAACAAATAACTCTGCAATAGGAGATCAGTATGTTCCATAGTGATGTACAAAGTTCTATTAAGCAAGCAACACATCTATCTTTTGGTACAGATTGACATAGTTGTATATAATGTCTCTGTGTATCCTTTTCAGTGTATGAACGAATAACAGCAGATGCTGTATTATGAATGGCAGCAGTAAAATGCAAATTCATTTGATCCACTGCTGTCTGTGTCTTTCCTAATAACATATAAGCTTCTTGTATAGAAGTATATACAGTATTATCAAAGTCTGTACACATTTTAGAAAGAGTATCATCTAAAGTCCTTTCAGTTTGTTCCAAAATGTCTTGTAATTTTCCATTTAAAGCAGCAATGCATTTGAAGTGTTTGTATGTCTGGGCATCTCTTCGACATTTTAAAAGAAGGGAAATTGCGTCTGGATAATTTTTTTTACTCAAAAGTTCTTTGAGTTGATCTCCCATACGTTGCTAAAATAAACATAACCTAAAGCTGGTATACATTCTACAAATATATATATATATATTTTTTTTTTTAAAATCATCAACATCAATATAAGGACATACTTACAAGACCTTTTATAGTATCTACATTTTTTAATAATTTTTCGATGACTTGACGTTTCTTATAATTAGCTAATATTCCCAAAATAGCTTTTGTAAATTGTTCCTTAGCTACTTTCAGATCCTTTCTTCCCATTCTGCATATTGCTAACATATTCTGAAGTTGGTCTTGTATAACTAAAATATTATCAAATTCTTCTTCACATGCGCTTTGTTTTTGTAAAATTAATTGCAGTAATTTTTTGGACACAATTTGATGCTGTTGTTTAAGCTTCTTGTAACGTTTTTCTATATCCTTTGATTGAAATATTCTTGGTTGCTTTTCTAATTCATGTCTACTAGGATCAAAGTCTTCATCTTTCCTAAAATAAATATTTTCTATAGATTCCAATATCTCTTGATCAGGAACATGTTCACTTTCAATGGACTGTCCAGCTTCAGATTGTAAATCTTCATATTTCTGTAGTGGCGTTCCTAAGAAATCCTGATTTAAACCCATATAAGGAACTTTGGTTGCGTTCTATGAAAATGAATAAAAGTGATCAATTTATTAATCGATATTATAATATTATTAAAACCATATGTAAATGTAACCATCGAATATACAATTAACCTTAAATACTTATACTAAAAGTATCGAATAAAATTCAAATAAATCTAATTTTATTAAGAC